AAAAATTAAAATAAGATCATTTTTTTCTCAGATTGCAAACATACCCAGAGTATGATAAGTTCTATGTCAAACTACCTAAGATCCTAGGCAAAAGGTTTTCTGATGAAAGCACGGTGAAGGGCGTTCTTGACCTCCTTGTTTCTCAGAGTATATACCACAGGGTTAAGGAGAGGAGTAAAAATGGTGTAGGTCACTGAGATCAGCTGATCCTGATCTTTGGTGTTCTCCGACTCAGGCTTGAGGTAGGCAATGGAGGCACAGCCATAGTGGACAATGACCACGATGAGGTGAGAGGCACAAGTTGCAAACGCCTTCTTTTGGCCCTCACTTGAGGCAATCTTGAGGATGGTGGAGATGATCAGGATGTAGGAGATGAAGACCAAACCCATGGGCACCACAATGACAAGCGAGCTGATGATAAAATTAATTATATCATGTAGATTGGTGTCAGCACAGGAGAGTTTCATAACTGGGCGGATGTCACAGAAATAATGGGTCACCTCTTTACCACAAAAGGGCTGACTGAACACAGAGGGAGTCTGAATGATGGCCACAAGCAGGCCAATGCTGCAGGCCCCCCACACCAGCAGGGCACACACTTTCTTGTTCATGATGACTGTGTACCTCAAAGGTTTGCAGATGGCGACATAACGGTCATACCCCATTGCTGTGAGTAGAAAGCAGTTGTTGATGGCCAAAGTGATAAAGAAGAACATCTGGGTGGCACAGCCAGCCAAGGAGATGGACTGGCTTTGTCCTATGAGGCTGGAGAGCATTTGTGGTACAATGACCAATGTGTACATAGTTTCTGAAGTTGAAAGCATACTAAGAAAGAAGTACATGGGGGTGTGAAGGTGGCGATCAGTACTGATAATTGTCACAATGATGACATTGCCAGCCAGGGTTAAAATATACAAGGTGAGAAATATTGCAAAGAGAATAAGTTTGTGTTCATGAAAGCTGGAAAAACCCTGGAAAAAAAATTCACTCACGACTGTGTAGTTTTCTCTCTTCATTGATAAATTCCAC